GCGGAGGAAGGGAGAGGCGCGAGGGGGGAAGTGGGCAGAAGCTGGGAGGAGGGCGAAGCCGTGTGCCTTCGGGTCGGGACAAGATCTACCCCGGCGAAGCTGCGCGGCAAAAGCGCCACGACACCCGGGGCAACAGGCCAGAAGCTGAGCACGAAGAGAAGAGAACAGAGTTAATGCTGCCATTCGAAAAAGGGGGGCGCAGCAATCAGCCTGGAGGTCCGGAGCGCCGAGAGCCCCCGAGGGGCGATCTGAACGGCGATCGCCATGAGCGGAGTCACGCGCGGCCAGCGTCACGCGCCGGGGCCTGATCCTCCCCCGGCTAGACACTTCTTTAATTTCCCCGTTCTGGCGGGCTTGCCCCCCCCGGCCAGTGGCCCCATCCCAGCGTCGTCCCCGGCCGCCCGCTCCGTGACGGCTGGCACAAGGGGACGGCCTTCGGGGGGGGGGTCCCAAGCATGCGCGGGATCTGTGCCAGCCTCCTTCCGTCTCCCCTCCTCCCCCCTGCCCCCCCTCCCCCCGACCATCCCTTTCTCCTGCCCTCACTCCCTCGCCGCCTTTGTCCTTTCCCCAGCCCAGCCCTCTCGCGGTCCTCGTTCCCCACCGCCTCCCGACGCCCCCGGCGCAGTGATGACCACCATGTCCTCCTCGATCGCCGGCCCTGGCATCACTTCCCTTCGCGAGAAGCAGATCGGTGTGTGTCAACCCATGCATATGAACGCGTTCAGGCATGCCCAGATGCCTTTCTCTCTCCCTCCCTCCCTCCTCTCTCTCTCTCTCTCTCGAGTCGCGCCACACGTCCCTCGCTCCTCTACCGGGGCCCGCGTCTGCGCCCATGTCTGACCCCCATGTACCCTCGTTTCATTTTGCTTATTTCCCTTTCGCTCTGCCTGGCCCGGGCCATTCGCCCGTCGCAAGCCGCCATCCATTCCATCCTCAACTTGCACAAGGGCACACCTCCGGCACGGGCTCCGGGGTCCAGCGGCCCCGGAGGGGCCCCCGCAGGCAACAGCCTGCTTGCCTACTCGGCAGCCGCCACCGGGCCCGGCAACACAGCAGCCGTCGGCAGCGGAGGCCCCGGGTCCCCGCAGAGCCCCGGCCCCGAGGATGGCATCACCTGGAAGGTCCTGGTGTACGACCTGAACGGTCGGGATATCATTGCGCCGTTGTTTCCCCTGCCGAAGATGCGCGCCCTGGGAATCACCCTGCATCTGTGCGTTCGCCAATGCACACACCTGCCACCCTTGTGCCAGTGTGTCAACATTCGCCTGTCCATCTGTCGCGTGGCTGGCCCATCCTCCTGGGTCTCCTGGAATTTGCTTGCCACTCACATTTGCTCGTGTTCTCGCAACACCTCTCCTTTCCGCTTTCTGCCCCTCCCCATTTCCCTCCCTCTTTCTCCCTCCCTCTTTCTCCCTCCCTCTTTCTCTCTGCCTCTTTCTCACTCCTTCTTTCTCCCTCCCTCTTTCTCACTTCCTCTTTCTCACTCCTTCTTTCTCTCCCTCTCTCTTTCTCACTTCCTCTTTCTCACTCCTTCTTTCTCTCCCTCCTCCTGCCCTCCTCCTGCCCTCCTCCTGCCCTCCTCCTGCCCTCCTCCTGCCCCCCCTACCCTCCGACGGTAATGCGTTCAAATGTCCAGGAATCTGCACAGCGAACGCTTCCATGTTCCCGATGCGCCAGCCATCTACCTGGTCAGCCCGACGGCCGAGAATATCGACCGCATCGCACGCGACCTGTCCCTCGGCCTGTATCAGTCTTTCCATCTGTGCTTCCTGTCACCAGTGTCGCGGGACCTGCTCGAGCGCCTCGCGGCCGCATGTGTGGCGTCGGACGCCGCGGCCCTCATCGCCCAAGTGACCGACGAGTATCTGGACTTCGTGGCCCTGGAGGACCGACTCTTTAGCCTGCGCCAAGAGGCCACCCTGGTGGACCTCCACTCGCCGGGCAAGACCGAGGAGCAGATCATGGCCGTGGTTGACCGGGTGGCTGGGTCGCTCTTTTCCGTTTGCGTGACGCTTGGTGCGGGGCTTTCCCCCCCTCTCTCTCTCCCTCTCCCTCTCTCTCTCTCTCTCTCTGTTCACTCTTCCCGCGGAATGCTCTCCTCCTCCTCCTCGCACAGACACATACGCACATAAGCACATACGCACATAAGCACATACGCCGAAGCACATGCATGCGCATTTCGGCCTGCCTGAATGCATCATAGACGCTA